GGAAAAGAAGATCAGTTGAAAGTTTTTGTGACTTGTAAGTATTTTCGGAATAATAATGATGTAGACTGATTAAATTTTGGTATTAAACGTTTAAATAATTTTTTAATAGACTTATTTATTTCTTTTTTTTGTTGAATTAATCAAATTTTTGAAATTTTTATCAGCATAGATTTGCTTACAAAATCTTTTTACTTAAAATTAGCAGATTAAAATAATTTATTTTTTTCATTTCATCAAAATAAATAGATTGTATTGAAACCTCAATCTCTATAATTTTAATTGTTAAAATTTTATCATAATTATCTAAGTTACTTTTATTAATGATACTGTCGAATCTTTGTGAAATTTGTTTTTGTTAGAATAATTTAAATTTTAAATTTTGCAGTACTAACGAAAAATGGAATAGAACGTGGAGATATTGAACCAAAAGTGAAAAAATCCCGTCATTCTTACGAGATTTCATTTCGTCCAACAGAAGTTGGCACCCATCAAGTAAGTATTTTAATTCTTAGCTTTTTCAAATTAAGCTTTTTACTTTTTCACTTTTTGATTTACTTTTTTTTTGTAACTAATTTGCTACTGTAATACTCTTTATGCTTTTTCATGCATTTCTCAGCTTCGTTTAATATATATATTAAAAATACAGTAACTTAAAGCAAACATAACTATTTTGTGATCAAAGAAAGATAAAAAATTGCACAAAATATGCATATATTTTAGTATTAAATGTTTAAATAATTTTTTAATATACTTATTTAGATATTATTGACATTTATAGGTATAATACTAAATTGCATATTTTTTACCTCTTCCTGATCATAAAATAGTATTTATTAATACCTAATATTAAATTAATATTTCATCAAAGTGAGCTTATTAGTGCTGTATCTGATGATATCATCCTACTTTTAAATCTTTTTAATAATTTATCTAGCTGACTTTACTAATTTTTAAATTTAATTCATAAAAAAATAAATAAATAGTCGGTTTCAAAAAAATTTTATTTTTGAAGCATAAAAAATTATTTTATTTAATATTAAAGATTATGGTATATGTGAATGATACCTTACATCCAATGTGTCCTTTCCCAATACGTGTTTACGATGCTTCTGAAATTATCATTGGTGAAATCGTACCACAAAGTGCTGTCAATGATACTGTAGAATTTACAGGTATATTAATAAATCTGCTTCATATATCTACCATTTAATATGTAGTAAGATTTGGAAAAATTAGCAGTAAGAACGAATTACGTATTCTTATAATTATTATGACGTTATTTTGTGATTGTTATAAAGTTTTCGTGTTACTGTTACATATTTGTATAGCAATTGACTGTAGCTATGTACTACGGTGACGTATTTCGCATACGCAGTTAATAATTCAAAGTCTAGCAAAAATATTTGCGTAAATCAGTGGAACTTTTAAATTTAAATGCAAGAAAGTGTTATATATTTTTTGTCTGTTGACAATTATTACTGCATTTTATTACAGTACTCATTTTAGTTGATGCTGGTCGCGCAGGTTTTGGAAATCTTGAAATAGCAATTAAAGATATCGATGGTATCATAATTCCATCTCATGTAGCTCAGCTGGAAACTGGAACTGCCAAGTTTTTGGTAACATTCAATCCGACTACTGTTGGCGTGCATACTGTCAATATTACCTTCAACAAGGAAGTGCTTAAAAGTAAGAAAAAGTATTCATTGAACACAATCATATTTTTTTAATGATCGATCAGTGATTGATCTCGGTTCAATGAATCGATTATTAAAAGCTTTTTTAATTTGCTTATCATTTAATTAATTGATCACTTTGCAGATAGTCCATTTGAAGTGAATATCGTTGAATCAAAATCTACAGCAGTAACGGCAAGCAAGTATGATTTGCCATAATGAATTACTAAATTTTCATATTACTGTAATCATTTTTAAAGAACACTGTGGAATTAAATTCTGAAGTATTTACTTACTAGAATATCAAAAATTAAATTAAAGTTTGAATTTAGTAATTAGCACATTTTCAGTCTAACTGATGGAAAAAAGAAAGATTCACGCAAGGAAAAGGAAGAAAAAAAACGTGAAGAAAAAGAAAGATTAAAGAAGGAAAAGGAAGAAAAATTACTGGCTGAAACTTTGAAGAAAAATAAAGTAATTAATTTACTATTATTATTGTTATTAATATTATTATTAATTATTGTCATTACTAAATATTATTATTATTATTACTAATTATTTATTATTATTATTATTATTATTATTGTTAATTATTACTAATTATTATTATTAATGTCGCTTTTGTCCTTACAAAAATGACTAATATTTTGCTACTTTTTAAAATTAATTGAAGTTGTGCTCAAAATTTTACAATGACAAATTTTAAGGAAAAGGAAGCCAAAAAGAAAAAGCATTATTTAGACAAGAAGACAACTGTATCAAAAATTCCATCTTTGAGCCGAGTCGGACGACCAGCACAAATTTTAATTGCAATCGCAGGTGAAGAGCCACTCGAAGTTATGGTCAAAGGTAAGTAGTTTATATTAATAACTTAATAGGTCAAAGGTAAGTAAGGTAAGACTTATTAACTTAGTAAGTTAATAAGTACTCTTAACGTAAAGTAATCATTTCTAAAGTTAATTTACCAATTTGAAATTTATTGGTTCTTTTTTTTTGAAGAAAATATACAAACTTAAAGCTCTTTTTGTTCATTTAAAAAATAAGTTTGTAAATTTAAAATTTATTATATTTGTAAAGCAATGAGCAAGTAATCATATAAAATATCTTCAAAATGTTTGATTTGCTTAACAATTATTTCCATTCAAATAATTTTGAAAAATTTAATTTTAGATCCTGAAAAAAATATTATTGAACGTTCTATATTTGATCATGAGCCAGGCAGTAAAAAAGTAGAGTTTATGCCTACAAAAGTTGGTAAGTCTATTTGTTACTACTTGTTAAATTTAAATTTTAAATTGTTGTCGCATTTTTTGATGCTTTCATTATTAATTACTTTAATATAAATAGTGTAATTTTTTTTTTACAATTTATTACTTTTTGTTTATTTAAGTGATTTTTTATTTTTCAGAGTTTGCATATTTTAGTAAAATAATTATTCATTTCAGGTGACCATGAAATTGAAGTTAAATATGCAGGTAATGATGTTCAGGGCAGCCCATTTACTTGTCGCGCATATGATCCAGCCAAAATTAACGTTGGCAATATACCGAATAGTGTGGTTGACAAACCTGTCCATTTCATTGGTTTCTTTTATATTTTTAATATCAATTAAATCTTGCTTTATTAATGATTTTGAGTATTTTTCATTTCGCAGTGTATAGTAATAAAAATGATGTAAATTATAATTATTCAATTTAATTTCTATTTTCATTATGATTTATAGTTGACGCAAGTCAAGCAGGCGTTGGTAACCTAGAAGTAGCAGTTAACGATGGTCGAATTCCATCGATGGCACAATCCCTCGGACAACATCGATATGATATATCATTTGTACCTCTAGAACTTGTTGACCATACCATTTCTGTACGCTTCAATAATGAACCTGTCCCAGGTATTTCAATTACACATCATAAACTTAAATTTTTTTAAATTCATAAATTGTATTATTGTGATAAACTTGTAAAAAAATAAAAATATTCAAAATTTCGTACACAAAAAGGCATATTTAACACTAAAAAGTATTAAAAGTTAAGGCTTTTTTTTCAGTTTTATTGGAACAAAAATAAAATCTTTACTTGCAAAAATACCATAAATTACTTGATTTTTTAATGCTCAAATTTACTTAAGCAAAAATTATTTAATGCAATAATTGAAATTAATTTTTATTTAATTTAAAAAATGTATAGAATTGTGATTTGCAGTATAAGCAGTCAATCTCGTTTTCTTTTTAATTTATAAATTTATTTAATTCTAATTGTTGAAAGAGATCGCAACAAACAGTAATATATATTTTATACAATAAGTACTATTTCTATTTGTAATTTTTATTCCATTTTGTTATTACCTTTAAAATCAGATAAGATAGTTAATAGTAACTATTAATAAATAAAATGTGATCGCAAATTTGCTAAGTAAAAAGCAGAAAAGTTATAATTCAATAAGAATGCAAAGTATATTACTTTAATTTTTAGGTAGTCCATTTGTGTGTCATTTGGTGGCATCGCAGTCAGTGACAGTTTCTGGGCCTGGCTTAGAACGGATTCCAGTGGGACAGATGGCTCAGATTTTTGTCTTCCTTGAAGGTATGAAGGATATGTTACCTGAAGTAAGCATTACTGATTCACATGGCAAGGCTGTTCCCGTCAGTATATCAAAAAGTGATTCAGAAGATGGAAAATATATTATTTCATATGTACCAAAAAATGTTGGAAATCATCAAGTAATAATTTTATATCAAATATTTTTTTAAATGCTTATTTCTAATGTAAAATGTAGAAGTAAGAGCACATTAACTTTTCTATACCGATTTTTGCAAGCAAATAATCCATCAACTTTTTTTATGATACAAAAAATTATCTTTTATTACATGAATTTAGTGGGAAAAATTTTTTACGTGAAAGTTTTTTATGCGCTAAATATTTTTCTAAGCATGCTTAGATCTAAGTTTTTGTCTATTTATAGGCAACAGAATTTATTAATATCACGAAAGTTATATATAAAGTAAGAACAAACATGAGGAAAATAAGTTATGATAGATAAATAATTTTGCTATCAAAGTATACTTTAATTTGAGACTGAACTTTAGATCGATATCAGTTGTGATGATAAACCTATCACTGGTTCACCTTTCACCTCTAAAGCATTTGACGCAAAATGCGCGAAATTATCATGTTTAGAAGAAGCGTTTGTTGGGCAGCCTTGCACATTCATGATTGATGCTGCGCGAGCTGGTGCTGGCAATATGGAAATTATTGTCAGTGTAGAAAATCGAAATGTGCCAAACTTTGTACAGGTTTGTTTGGAAAAAAAACGCTCTTATTCCAATTAATTCATTACTTGAAGAATTTTAAATTTTTATATTTTACCGCCCAACAAAACTAAACTTGTTTTGCGTTATTATTTAAAAAAGTATTTAGAATTGTAAACTGCAGCAGTATGGAAATCATTTTAAAAAACTGCAAGCTGAAGTTAAAACTTTATTATTAGTAGTATGTATTACTATATTATTATTAATAATAAGAATTATTATTAATGTTATTATTATTACAATTAATCATTATGTTTATTATCATTTCTGCTGTTGCGATTGATATAAAAACAAGAATAAATACATTGATAAATTGTACAATGCAAATTTTATCCTGTAGGCAGAAGGTCAAGCAAAGTTCAAAGTTTCATTTACTCCACAAGAAGCCAAGGACCATCATATAAGTGTGCGTTTCAACGGAGAAGCAATTCCAGGTGCAGGGCTTATTAATATTCAAATTTTCTTAAATATCATAATTCAACGAATTTCAATGACTGATGTACTTGTAGCGAGAATTTATTTCAAACATATTCTGTAGATTATAATGTTTTATTCATTAAACAATTTATATAGAGTTATAAATTGATAGTAATTTGAAAATAGTACTTGAATTGAAAATATATAATTGTAAGGTTCGCCAATGATTTGTCCTGTACGTGAAAAAGTAATGCCAGCAATTTCTGCTGTAAAACCATTAAAAAGTAGCGCAGGATGGGAGCAAGAAATCCGGTTAGTTGGTGACTTATCTGAGGGTCAAGTAAGTATTTTTCACTTTTTTAAATTATTTTTTAAAAATTTAGCTCTCAATGAATTTTTAATCCCACAATTACTATCAAATTTTCATTTGTTTACGCTTAATTTTTATATTTTTTATTTCAGACATTTCAGATTTGTTTTTGATAAAAATTTTGTCAGCAAAAATGAAATAAGTATAAATGATAATAATTAATTTATTTAGGTAGGACAAACCAAAGGCTTTAGTATTGACACGGGTGGACGTAAATATGATTGCAATGTTGCAGTGACCGGTTAGTTTATAAGCGTAATATGCACGTGTGACACAATTTGCACAAAATTTGGAGAAACAAATTCGTAATGAATACTTGAGATTTTCGCTATTATTATTGATATTAAAATAGATAAGCTTGTTAATTTAAGCTAAAGTGAAATTATTTGAGACAGTTTTTATCTATTAATATGTAAATATGCATAGATCCGATAATTTGCATGTGTGAAATTGATCAAATTTATAATCGTTTCTCCAACTTTGTCTGAAGCACTTTTTGCACATAAGCTAGTCTTGAAAAACTGAAACGCTTACATATCACAAGCTTATTTTTGCATATTTACGTACTCAATTTTGTGAGTGTATTTTTGACTTATTAAACTTATTTATTTGCCTTTGCTTATTTATTATCAATGTTATTATTATTATTATTATTTATTGTTATTATTTTTTTTAAAATTGCATTCTATCACTTACATTGCTTGTCGATTAATTGTCGTGTATGTTGCTGCACATAGAAATATGCAAATTTAGATCCAAATGGCCAAGAATTAGATGTAGAATTAGAAAAAGTTTACAATGGATATCATGTACAATTCATACCACTTACATCAGGTTACTATTATAATTATAATTATAATAATAATTATTGTTATTAATGTTATTATTATTATTTGCTATTATCATTATTTTTGAAAAGGAAGTTTATTTTTACAAATAATTTTTTAAAATGGGAAATTCAATTCAAATTTTTCTACATTTTATTAATAAACAAATTGAATCAGTGAATAAAATATTAAAAGTATAAAATATTTGTGTAGTAAAAATTATTATTGACTTTTTTGGAAATTTTTCCGCGGTGAAAAATTTACAAGGGAATATGGACATAAAATTGATTATTTTACAAGAATTTACAGGTGAACATGAAATAGAAATTATCATAAACAATCGACAATTAGGCATTGGACCATTTATAATGGAAGTTTCAAATGCTCCTAAAATTGCGCGTATTCCGTCAACTATTCTCGCTGGCAAGGAACTCGTCTTTGAGCGTAAGTTTGTTAATATTCTTTTTATTGATAAAAATAATTTAAACTAATAGAATTTATAGTATTCGATTTGGTACAACAAATATTTAAAGCAATGAGTGTGTAAGGTTGATAGAAAATTTCTTTGCAAGCCAAAAAAGTATTCAAAAGTTTCAAAAAATGAGCTAAAAAGTATTAATTAAAAAAAGTAATACTTTTATGCTAATTCATTGTGATTTTTTTCTAGTAGACACAGGTGATTCTACCCGTAAAGATATCAGATTAGACGTTAAAAATGTCAAAGGTGATTTACTTCCAACAAAAATAGAAACTGGAAGAGATGGAATTGTGCGAGCTTTTTGCAGGTAGGAGGGATAAAAAAATATTTGCATAATATTTTTATTTGCGCACTTTTTTAAATTTTAAGAACGTAAAGTTTATACTGTAATAACTTTAATTGTGATTGAGTAGTCTGAAGTTTAGCGATTACTGTAATTAGTAATATTCGTGAATCTGTCAACACTTTTGAATACTAATTCAAAAAAGCGAAGATTTAAATTATTTTTTCTAACTGAGCATTTATTATAAAAATATTTTTTACATGATTAAAAATGCATAATAAAAAAAATTGTTTTGATGACAAAAAGACACAGAAAACAAAAAAGAACATCTTAAAAATTGACAAAGGTCATCATGAAAATTGACAAGGTCATCAAGGTCATAAGTCTAACATTCTAAAATTTGAAGTTTTTGGTTATCATTCATTATTCAAATACTTAATACGCATTTTAGAGTTGATTACTGCTGAGAAATATTGATTAAAATAAAAATTTCACTTTAAATCCTTTTTCCTTCATTCTTGTGAGATTTAAAAAATTTTTGTGAAAAGTGATTTTATTATTAATTTTTAAGACTTTATGACATGGGTCGTTATTCCGTTGATGTTTACATAAATAATAAAGTATATGGCGAACGACAGTATGTTCGAGTCATTGAAAAAGGTCAGGGAGTAGTGCTAGTAAGTGAAATTGAACAAGGTCGAGTTGGATGGTCATCCAAATTAATCTTACGGACTGAATCTGATGCTGCCAAATATCTTTCTGTTATAATCGTTGGTAAGTACAGAAAAATTCATACTTTCTGGTTAACTTTTTATTTTTGATTAATTATAACTTTTTTATGCTCTCGACTGTTTTTATAACCTTTTTCAATTATCGTAGATTTTTAAAAAAGTTCTCAATATAATTTTTTCTCTTTTTTTTCGAACTTTTTCAAAATTTCAATTTATTATTATTTAAAACGTTTATTAATTAATAGCACTAAATGAGTTCTAAAAAATTTTTCTTGTTTGAGTGATCTCGCTTAAATATTGCTATTTAAATATGTAAAGTCCGATAAAAATTCAGAATTAATATAAATTAAAATTGCAGATTCACAGCGTAATCAAGTGCCAGCATCACTGAGAAATTTACCAGATCAAATCTGTGAAATTGAATTTACACCACGAATAGAAGGTGTGCACACTGTATCAATATTAGTGGGTGATGAACATATTCAAGGTAGTCCGTTCAATATCAATGTTCTGGATTTGAGCGCTGTTCGAGTGATTGGTTTGAAGAATGATCCTGTTGGTGTTGAACAGCGATTTAATGGTTGCTTATCTTTAAGAATAATTTTAAATATATAATCAATTTATGAAATTTTATCTAAATGCTTAAAAAAAATTACAATCTTACATATTATTATGTTTACATATTACTCTTAGACTTATTTAAAAATTTACATGCACATTTGATATGTACGTATATCATATCGTATCATATCATATCATGTAATGTCATACTATACTATATCATATATCATATCGTATCATATATCATATCATGTCATATCATACCATGTCCTATCCAATCATATTGAACAATACTGAAACATGAATATATAAAAATTTCTTTTAAAGAAATACAGAAAGGAAAATATAAATAATTTTGAGTATGATATGAATTTAAAAACGTGGAAATATGCAAAATTTTTCAATATATTCTAAGCCATCGTTTATTTAGTTGATTGGTCAAATTCTGGAGGGACCAATGCTACAGTAAGAGTAACATTCGGAGGTAAAGAAGTTTCTTGTATGATAAAACAAATCAAACCAGGTTTACACGTATGCTCATTTATACCACGTCAGGTTGGATTACATCTGATCGATGTGTTGATCGATGGAATGCTTTTGCCAGGTATCCGGTAAATCTATTTCATGTTAATAATGCGTAGTGTACTAAAAAAAGTTATTTTATTGTGATAATTTATCACAAACAAAACTATTAAAAAAAATAAATCTATCACAAATGTCGTTTGAATATTGTAGAACATTACAATATGATTGTCATATTATCATCACAACTGATATATAGTTGTTATAAATGATTATCATAAATAATTTGGTTCTTAGAAACAAAAAAATAGTTTTCTGCAAAAAAATACCATTTCACATCAGAATGTCCATATGAATGCATTGTGAGTGATATGGGATCAGTACGTGCACGTGGAGATGCGTTGACACGAGCTCAACGTGGGAAAACTGCTCGTTTCGAAGTTTCAATGGCTGATACGGCACGTGGAGAATTAGATGTAATGGTTGCAGGTACTAATTTAAAAAAATACAATATTTATGATTAGTTCAAATTATTAATTGAAGCAAAAAAAACTGAAGAAATGCGAAGTATTTTTTATATTTTATGAAAAAAATAGTTTTTTGATCATAAATTTCGTTCAAAAAGTTTTTTACAGAATCAAAAATAAGTTTACATATTTATGATTACTTTTAATTTTATATTAATTATTTTCTAATTTAACTATTATTTTTACTTGAAAAGTGTTTAAAATTTGAATCCAATAAAATGTTTTATAAAAAGTATTTTTTTAAAAATGAATTTCAAATATAGTTATAAGATAAATATTTCGAATGGTAGTAAAAGGAATTTAAATTTTGATTTGAATTCATTATTGAATAATAATCAAATATTTTAAACTTAAACGTCAAAAATTTACAAATTGGTAACGGAAACTAAATTACTGCATGAAAATTATTAATTTAATTTTAATTTCTATTTTGAAATTTAAACGTATATCTAGTGATTTTTCCACGTAATATTTTATAATTTGGCTATTAAAAATATAATTTAAATTTGGCTATTAAAAAAAATGCTAAATAAAGTTGCATAAATGTATATGAGATTTCATCCAAGTTACTTTCAGGTCTCTTTCAATCTTTTGCAATTATTATTCGAGAAATTCATTCACTTTCAGAAATTCGCACTTATTTTTCATATGTTATAATGACACTTTTGCCTACACGTCTTCGTCACTTGCTTTGATATCATTCACGCTATACTTTTACTAATTTATGCACATTTTGTGTGTTCTTTTGCCACAAAAGCTTATCGCTAGAATCAAGATCACGCATACAAGTTACAGATACACGTGGAAGACCACTACCAGTTCGATGCTATAAACAACACGATGATAGTTATTGGGTAGAATTCACTCCCGAAAATATTGGTATATTTTAATACTATTAGCAATAATTTTCATTTTTTATAATTTTCTACAAATTTTGGTTATAAAAGTTTACGACAAATTTTTATACCTAAAAGCTGTACTGTAAAAAATTTACAATAATTAGCAAAAATGTCTGAAAGTTATTTTCGCTCAGTTATTTTACTCGTTAACAGATATTTTTTTGAAAACTTTTATTCCAACGCTGCAAAAAGTAACTTAGCAGCCAGTAAATAATACATTGTGTAGTACTTTTAATTCGTGAGATAAAAGTTACGTGGAAAGTTAATTTATATTTTATGCGTTAGAAATAAAATAATAAAGTAAATTCGAAAAATAGTAAATGAATGTTTGCTTTCAAATTCTTACTTATATTCGCATTTATAGCAAAAATATTTATAGCAAATACAGTCACATTTTTTGCTTAATTACTATTATTTTAGTATTAAATTCCTGTTTTTATGTGTATTTCTTCTCTTAAACAAAAAATTTTAGACAAAAATATAATTTCTGTTTGAGTTTTTTGACAGTAAAGCAAGCAAATTTGTTTGAATTTCTGCTCGAAAACATATTTATGTGTAATTCTTTAAAAACATTAATGCTTATGTAAGCTATGAATAAATAGCATTGCGTATAAATAAGACAGTACTAAGTTATCTGAGTACTCAGCTTTGCAGTACCAGTGCTTGCTTCAGTCTCAAACTGTGCTAGTTAATAATTATAAAGACTGGTTTATTATTTTGTGGTTTAGCACTTTGTGGTACGATTTCACCAAAAAATAGTACTTTAATATAAATATACTTACTTTAATATATAATAGTAATTATTTACCAATAATAATACTTTTAATTGTTTAATTATTTAACAATAATAGTACTTTTAATTATTTAATTATATAACAATAAATAAAAATTGTTCATATTTATTTTACAAAGAAAAACAGATGCTCTTTATTTGGTGCAAAGGATTTATTAAAAACAAAAAATTTATTTTTGCATATAAAATAAAAAATGAAAAATATTTAAGCAAAAGCTTGTAGTATTTTTATGTATACAAATTGCTGAATTAAAAACATTTTTAATTGAAATTAATTGTTATTAAAAAATAATGCGCAACTAATTGTTTTAATACTTATTCTCTTAGAAATTAACTTTTAATTGATAAAATTTTGTATAAATAAATATGAATAAAAATAAAATCAATCACTCATAAATAAGCTTTCGATTTATTTTAAAACTTTATCTCTGCGCGAGCTGTCATTCCATAAATGATAAATAATTCTTTCTAGTTTTTAATAATTTACCATTTGTAGTTTCCATTAAAATAGGACAGATCCGTATTTTGTTTCTTCCATTTTCTTTTAATCTTAATAATATTATTACAATTTTATTCTTCTTTATAAGAAATCATGGTTATTAATCATAATCATTTAGAAATTAAACGGCATCTTCAATGTTATTAATTTTGAAACACAGAATTTAACGGATAATTACTTGATTCATTTCTCTCATGCATAATATCAGTTGTGTCCTTCTATATACGTGTTTCTAATCACTCAGTTAATAGTTAAGTTAATTAATTAATTAATTCATTTATTCATTTGTTTAGCTATTTATTTAACAATTTTAGGCCTTCATCGAATTGAAGTGACAGTAGCTGATACGCCAATAGTTGGTAGTCCTTTTGTATGCCTCGTTGTTGATCCAAAAAAAGTTCTTGTCAAAGGTATCACAGAACCGTTCATTCTTAAACAACCCGCAATAATCAGTGGTAAATATTTTTTATTTTTATTTACTTTTATTAATAATTAATTAAATAACTATAAAGTATTTTTTTCTGCTATGCATGCTTATTAGTATTTAAATATTAACACATTTTAGAATACTATTTTTTCTTAATGGTTACAAAAGTAAACACTTTTGGTATTTATTTTGTCTGTTTTAAGATTATTATTTAATTAATTTGCAGTAGTAAGAGCATTGTTTGATATTTTATGAAATAATCATATTTTGTTAATAATAAATTAATTAGATTATTATTATTTATCATAATTGTTGAAGATAAAAATTATAATTATTATTCAAATTCTGCAATATACTTTGTGGAAAAAATGCTACTAAAACTATTATTGCAAATATTAATTGTGTTTTAACCTAACAATTAATGTTTTTTTAAATAAATAGAATTTATATTCAATTTTGATAACCTTTTTTTTCTGAAATAAAACCTAATATTACTGGTAAAAATGTGAATGTTCAAAAAAGATTCAAAAATTAATTGTGTTTTTCAGTTAATCGACAAATGGCTGGCGATGGTGAATTGACAGTAGAATTAGCTGATCCCAAAAATGAATCTGTCCCATTAGAAATGCATAAAAGTGCTGATGGAGATGATATTATTGAATTTGTACCCACAAAAGTTGGCCAATATCAGTTAACTACCAAATTAGCCGGTTTTCTTGTAAATGGTAAAAGTTTTTATTTTAATAATTATTATTGCCAGCTTTTTTGATTGTGAATCATTGTGAAGTTATAATACCATTGATTTATTAAGTCTAAATCGTGCTAAATTTTAATTTGACATGACATACGTAATTCACGTTATTTGTTTTTAAGGAACACCTCATACAGTGATAGTTGAAGAACAAGGCAAGCCTACTGTGCGTGGATCTGCAATTGAACATGCAGTAGAAGTAGAACATCCAGCAAGTTTCATTTTTGATCCTAAAAATGTAAAGGGAAGTGTCAAAGTTGATATAAGAGGTACGATATTGCAAATTTTTTTAAATTAATAAAATATTTCAAATATTTTTTGCAATTTTTTTGTAAATTTTGATTTTTTATTGTGATTTAATGAAATTATACTATATGAAACAGAAAATTTCTTCACTTAAAAATACAAAATTGATTAGAAGACTTTTTTATAGAACCAATTAATTTAGGACCGAAGAAGACGAAAATTCGCCATGTAGCAAATAAAAATTCTGATGGAACAACAGAGATTTTATTCACACCATCAGAAGTTGGTCGATATATTGCAAATATTGAGCATAATAATCGAGTTATCACAGGTGATTTTTTGCATTTCATGAATTGAAAATTTATGTGTTTGCTTTATTTTTGGTCAACGAGTAAGTAAAAAATGATAAGTTGTATCATTTTTACTTGAAATACAAAAAAATCACCTGTGATAATTGAATGAAATCATAAGGTATGATTTAGGAAGCCCGTTTGATATCGAAGTTGTTGATCCACAAAAAGTGATAGTAAATGATCATATAGCTGATGAAGATGGAGTTTATCAATTTGCAGTGCAGCAAAGAAACTTTATAGACGTGGATGCAACGGCCGCCGGATCTGGCACGTTATTTACGTATTCCTTTCTTTATTTATCTTTGACTGCAATGTTGTTTATAATTTCAGAAAATTTTTCTTTAATAATTGTTAAAAAAATATATTTTTGGTAAGTTATGAATTGAAATATATACTTTAGGAAAACTTCGTGCGGAAGTTCGGGACTGGGATGGCAAGTCAGTGGGTGGTTGTGATGTTGAATCATTAGGTTATGGTAAATATCGTATAGCATATTGTCCACATCAACCTGGAAAATATGACATTTATTTATATTGGTCAGATATGGCAGTTCCAAATGCGCAGCCATTACACGTAATTGCTGAAAGCGAACAACCGTCAACTTCGCGTGCTGTTCCGCTTATGAATAATGCTGGAATAGAATCATTTCATAGTACTATGAGATCGCGAGTTGAGTAAGTGAAAATAAGTTACAAAAATGTGAAATTTATAAAGATTCATTTTCAATAGTACATAAAAGTTTCAGAGATCGTTCGCTTCATGAAGAGAATAGCACGGAACATCTCAGAGTAGTTCTACGTGGAGAAGGCTTATCACGGGCTGTCAGTAATCAACAAGCCGAATTTATCATTGATGGTTCAGATATCTCCAGAGGTTTATATTTCATGTTTATAGTCTTTCACCACCTTTTATACACTATAGTTTTCTTCATTTATTATAAGTATGATTTATTCATGTTATACAATCACATATTAAATATAAATACAGTCTATACGTGTATACATAGTCATACAAATTTATTAGCATATATAGATAGACGATTCTTGAATATATCATAAATGTGTTATCAATGTTTACACGTGTCCCTTGTTATAGATCCGTCAAACATTTGTCACTGATAAATATGATCTACATGCGTTATTAGTTATAAATATAATGACGTGTAATAGCTTACTTTTTGACTTAAAATTTGTATGCATTTACTTTAGACGGGCAAGTCTCATGTTCATTATTCGGTCAGAAGGTTGACATTCCTGTCCGACTTTCTCATCTGGGAAATAACGTTTACAAAGCTGTCTACACGCCTTTAATTACGGGCATATATGAATTACAAGTCATTATTATTTTTATTTTCAAAATTAAATCAATTTTTTATCAAACTTTTCAACTTTGAATGAAACATATTTTTTGCAAATACTATAGTAAATACAATTAATAACAAAATATAATAATATAAATTTTGTGGAAATTCTATTATGAGTAAATTTTATCACTGTAAAAAATCATTCAGTATTGTGATAGTGAAAAATTAACAGTATATTTATGAGCGCACACATTGTAGATTTTGTGGGATGGTTATCACGTACGTGGCTCACCTTTTCGTGTACAAGTTGAAACACATGAAAGTTCCGCAGCAGCAATAAGCATTGATGCAAATACATTAAAAATGGGAGTAATTAATGGGGATGTAAAAACAGTTATTGACGTGAAAAAAGCAGGACCAGGTAAAAACTTTGGCGTTTTTTATTTTAAAATGCCCTGGATAGAAATTTGCATATTTCTTAAACTTATAGCCTTCCTATATTTTCAAATCTTTAATTGCATTTTTTACTATTTCATATTTTACGTTAAAAAAGTTTGCTTGAGCTTATTTCAAAAAGATGAAGTTGATGAAAAATATTCATTTCATATGAATTATAGTTAAATGAATGAATAATCCTCAGAGTATCTAAAAATTATTAAGTTAAAGTGATTAAACAAAAATTTATTCAGATTCCATATTATCTTCAAAGTTTAGGCCAGTTGTCAGCACAATGTATGGGACCAACAAAATTAGCATATTGTGAATTATATGATCATCGTGATGGTACATTTACTTTATCCGTGAAACCTTCTGAAATTGGAAAGCATACATTGGGTAGAATTTTCTTCCCTCTTACTTTTAATAATAAATAATACTTGAATAGCAGAAATTACTGATTTGTATACTTTTTGATGCATAATAACTTTGAAATTAAGCAAATGTATGCGTGAATTATTATTATTTAATGAAAAAATGTACATATTCATTTAAATAATGCTGAAAATTTTATGAGCAATAAATCAAGTAAAAACGTAACTAAGGAATTTTATTTTTTACGTTGTAGTGGTGAAATATTCGGATGAACACGTCTCAGGTAGTCCATTCACTTTTAACGTATCTTATCCACCGGATGCGTCAAAAGTACGCGTATTTGGACCTGGAATTGAACATGGAATTCTTTCAACGTAAGCTTTAAATTATTTTTCCAACTTCCGTTTGCGTATTTATTTTTTATTTACTTAAGCACAAAAAACTTTGACACAAAAGTAAATATATTTTTTATTGTATTTATGTATACTTAATATAATAAGAAATTATTATATATGTTTATTAATTTTTTTAATGATATTTTTAATTAAGTAACTGTTTACAGCTTCAAATCAAACTTTATTGTGGAAACAAAAGGTGCAGGTGCAGGACAACTTACTGTTCGTGTTCGAGGACCAAAAGGAGCTTTTAACGTTGAAATGCAACGAGAAAAAAAGCAGGAACGAACAATTCACTGTAAATATGAACCTAAAGAACCTGGGGATTATCAAGTAAGAGTTTAATTACTGAGGTTAAACTAGAATATAGAAATACATTGCTACTAATTATTTTAACAAATAATGCATTATAAATGCACTTTTCGCAAAGCAGATTAAATTTATTTTAATTAATTTGATAGATGTATTTTTTAAATAGAAGAATGTTAATAACAAATAAATTAATATAGTGAGTTTAAGGTAGAAGTTAAATGGCATGGTGAACATGTTCCGGGATCACCATTTTTGGTAATGATTGTTGATACAGAACAAGAATTACAACGATTTTTACGCGGTGATGCACCATCTCCACAACCAGTAACACCGTTTATTCCACCTGGTTGGATTGGTACTCCTCCACCACCTCCGTTGTTCCTTGGTGCACCACCACCTCGAGGACCGTTTTTACAATCTCATACAGCACCTTTACCACCACCACCACCACCTCCTCTTCAAGGAACATTAAGTGTTACGCGTCACTCACCTTTGTTACCTTATGGTACTTTGCCACCACCTCCACCTCATGCCTTACGCCCTGCATTACACCCGAGATTTATGAGCGGTTACTAATTACAAATATTATGATTATTATCACTAATAATTTTTTGGTGAACGAAAGTTTTTTATATAAAAATTAAATCAAACAACACTAAGCTTAAGCCATAATGTTCTTATCACTGCAGTTTGAATATTTTCAGTAGTATTCGTTAATAGTTTGGTATATGTTTGTACGTATATTACGATATTTTAACTTTTAAGTTCTATTTAATCAGTAAACTTATTTTATCAGTGATATTACCTTTTAATCAATAACATACTCTTTCTTTATTGCTATCACTTTTTGACAAAAAATGTTGCCTCATTTAATTATTTCCAAGAAAAAATATTATCTTGTTTCTGAAGTTTTCTTTTTTAATAACACATTTTGATCATTTTTTATGCAATTAAAATTTTGGAAGAAAATTCAGAAGTGTTAAAGTTTTGAATTTTCAGGCATGAAAAATTTATAGATATCAGTAAATTTTATATTGTTTGCAATTAAAAGTATGGTATCATTGGGTTTTGTATTTTACAGTTCTTTGATAGTATTGTATTTCTTGGGCAATTATATAAGTGTTGTTATTAAAAAATGAGAATTATTTGTATTTTATATCGTTTCAAACGCATATATATTATTAACTGTTGTTAAACGACCAATGTTCATTTAAATCTTATGCAATACTTTATGAAAATTTTGCAGATTTACAACAATAACGAATTTATTTTTGCCTGCTTGTTGAACAAAATATATTAATTTTTAGCTTACTTATGAATTACTATAAGGTAATGTAATCAAAGAAAGCTATTGCATACATGTGTGATAATTTACTTGAACATTTTCATAATTACGATATCATTATTATTGGTTATACAATAGTATACTGTAATTTTGATCGTAATTTCAGCAAATCTAACAACATATTTACAAAGCTCAATTTTTCTTTTGTGATATCTTGCTATCACTTAAATAACAAATTTAATGTATTCTAATTTCTTTTAATGCATTTTAATTAAAAGCAACAGTTTTCTACAAAAATTAAATCTTAGCAATTTAATATGCACGAATTCTTTTCTCAATTACTTAAATATAAATTGTACTGTCTGTCAAGTAAATTTTTAATTTTCTACTTTGTAACTTTTGTCTTCATAATATTTGTTTCTATACAGAATATAAATATTGAGTAAAAACCATTTTTTTTCTTCATGGCTTAAGAGCATTTTCACATTGAGACTGAATAGCTTACAGAACTGTAAAAATTAGTAAAAGAGCAAAAGAATTTCGGGTTGGTTAATCTGATATAATTTTAAGTCATAACTCATGAGCTATAAATTATTCATCACTTCTAGGACTCGAATTATCACGTATAAAAAGTAAATCTCCTGACATGATTTTGGCTTTACAAAACTACTTGGTTAAACTAAAACTTGTAGTTTTGTCGTAACAAAAATAATAGATCACAGTAGGGGTTAAATCAAATGAAATATGTCGAAAGCATGTTTGTTGCATTTTATGAGAAGAGTGTAGATCACTTTCAAGTTAGCGGATGATCCATTTTTAATAAAGAACTTTAACAACTTATCAGAAATTCTCAAATCTCATAGCTACGAGTTTTCTTGCACAGATCTGAAGTGATTTATGAGTGATAAAGAGATAAAACCGTGATGAATCTTTGAATCAAATATTGCGTATGATAGTAAAGTTACTGTAAATTCAGATACTGGATATGTGACATGGAATAAAATCGAATAGATTCTAAGAACAAGTCCTTAAGTGCAATATGCTACGTTTATATTTATGAAAGTTATGAGTTAAGACATTAATAATGAGCTGAAGTGATAAAATGTGATTCTGTTTTTAATTTAATTGGAACAGAATAATTTATTCATCAATAATATCTAATTATTAATTAAATTTTTTATATTTTTTATGTAAGTATTTTTCTCGAATAAATTCTGACTAAAAATTATTTACATAAAATGATACAAAATTATAATTTGTGTTGTAGAGAACTGTAACATAATTATACCATTATTATTTTGTGAGTATATAATATTTCCTAAAATTTTTATCAAAAATGAGTCAATTTGGATTTTTGAAATTGTGGATTTTTTTTTTGGACGAGAATTTTTACTGGATAAAATTTTATAAAAAAAATAAAAATATAAAAAAATTATTTCCTCCATGGATAATTTGCATTGAATTTAACGAGAAGTTAAAAAGGTCAGAGAAATATCGCAGCATGTGCTTGAAATCAGATGATAAGAATACTTAATTATAAGCAAATAAAGTATATAGTTTTGAATTTATTTTAATAATTAAAACAATTAAATAATAACAAGATAGAGAGTATTCATAAATGAATATTAAAGTATACATTGGCGGAATTTAATAATTAATTAGCAAAGAGGAGAGAGCTGTGAACAGATCTCAACTTCGTAAAGCAGCAACGTGATCGCTGAAGGAGTGGATCAGATTTGCTCTTCGTAATAATTTAATTTAATTAAAAACAATTTATTTGGATTTATGCAACTTTATGCGTTTTATAATTTTTTACTGGTTTTTATTTACATTTGCTAATGTTACCTTAAATAACTTTCAGTGCAGTTACTTACAATATTGTGTATACTTTGTTATCACTTACAGTACTACTAAACGGTTTCTCACTATTTGTGGTATTTTATTCGTATAATCATTATTATTGGAATACTTTAGCGCTTATTTGTGAAATTATAATTAGTATTTTATTAATTAAATCTTCAGTTATATCGTTATTACTGTTATTATATTTTATCGCTATTTTATGATAACTTCTATTTTATCATAATTCTTTGGATCAGTACGCCTCATCACAATAGATTCTTTTAGCTATTTGATTTTAATTCCCTTCTATGTTCTAATAATTGTCATATTTATTTTATTCTAATTTATTCAAATATCAAATAGATTAATTGATTCAATCAAAATGATTATTAATTCTGATACTAAACAAAATTTGAAATTCGTGAAAAAATTTCACTTTCAGTGCAAAATGAATACTTATTAAGACTGCATAATTTAAAGATCAATTGGAAATTGAAATGAATCACTAAAAAACTAAAATTACTTGAAAAACAATAAACTTATCAATTACAAGTTTAGGCTAAAATTTTTAATAACAAAGTCGAAATTCCATAATATCCATAACATTCTACGAGTATTTATTTTCAAGAAGTGACCTCTCATCAAAACTTGCAACAAAACATTTGGACTAATTCAAAATACAATTAAACTTTTAAACTTTTAGCAATGAAATTATAAGTTTTATTTGTTCTAATTTTTATTCCCTTAATAAAAAATACTAATTTGTCCAATAATATTTTCAGAACTTTTATGAACACCTTATTCAGTTTATTAATAATATTAGTAATATATGTTTAACCAAAACATCTTATATTTTTGAATTTTCTATTCTGCCAACAAAATTAATTATTTCAAAATTCAAATTTGGTTTGCTTTAAATGACTGTAAGAGTACTGTGGGCTAAAACACGATTTTCAATTAAAATATTAATACTTATTATCATAAAAATCCAATCCAAAGCTTTTTTATACATTTCTCATATTTTATGAATATATATCTTTTATAAAAAATACTTATCTTTTATGTCACATTATTTATGATACTGTATAATTGGAATTTTTTAATGATATTAGTTAATATATTGAATAAATAGATAAAAATATCTCCAAGTATTTTTTATTTTTGAATAAAAATAACTGTATTTGTTGAAAAGGCTTCAGAAGATGAATTACTTCTAACAGAAGTAATGTTTTCGTAAAAAAACAAGAACTTTACATAAATAAGATAAGACAGCTGTTGGATTCTGTTCTTATTTTTCTTGAGTATTTTTGTTTTTGATTGTTAGTCTAAACTACTAAGTTATCATCACAGCAACTCCAAACTTTTTATACTGTCACGTAATACTTCCTTAATATAATGCGTAACAAAGTTATATTCACCAAAAATAAATGAATTATTATGTTTTTTTTATTTTCTATTTAAATAATTAAATTAACCTAAACTTTATATTAATTAACTAATTAATTTCTTATTTAATTTTTAAAAATTAAATGCCACAAGTTTAATTTTTGAAAAAATTTTAATTATTTAGTTTAGTGAGCATAAATTTCAGTGCATGTTTGATTTATAAGATATGTCATTGCTAAAAAGTAATGAATTACTGAAAGATTTGGATTTGAAAATAAAATAAAAATAATTAATTTTAAAAATGTTTTCACAATTTATTAACTAAAATATCTGATATTAATAACAAAAATACTAATAATTGAAAATAATAATAATTTATTCAAGAGCCATGCTATTATTTTCAACAAATGTTGTAATATCTTTATAATCATGTAAATTATTGGATTGTAATATCTTTATAATTATGTAAATTATTGGATAAAGACTGCATACTAATATCAACTCCGAAAGATGCAAAACAAATATGTATTTGTTATCATATAATCATTTTCAACAACTGTTATAATATCTTTATCATTATGTAAATAATCATTTTCAACAACTGTTATAATATCTTTATAATTATGTAAATCTTTATAATTATGTAAATTGTTTTTAACAATATAATTACTTTATTTATTTTACATTTGTTATCAAAATAACTATGTATTTGTTATCGTATACTTATTTGAAAAAACAAAGCAAATTTCAATAAAATATTTGTTTGCAAAAAATGCAAATTTAGTGACGACAGTAGTCAAAAACAAATGATAAAATTTATTAAAAAATAAATTAAAAAATAAAAATTTAACTAAAAACAAAGTCAGATTAGTTTAACAATTGATATGTTTCAGAATTATAATGCAAAATTGAATTGTAACTTTTCTTCGTGGAATTTGGAGATATTTAAGATATTCTTGAATGGCAAAATTAAGTTGTGGCGCGAGATGTTTGAAATTTTGCCTCTTCGTTTTTAATTTAATTTTTTTGGTAATTATTTATATGTGTATGTATAATTCACTTGCATTTTATATAATTTTGTAAATGCATTAGAGTAAAAAATTATGTAAGTGATATTCAGACATGCAATTTGCATAATTTAATATAAAATTATTAATTCATTTTTAAACTTAAAAAATTTGAAACTCCTTTTTTAATTATAATAAAAATTTTTTTGCATAAAGTTATGTGGTTTTGTGTCTGTTGGCATTGGTACTTGGCTTGTATTAGATCAGTATGCAGTGGATAATTTGGCATTTGCAAGTCAGCAAATCCAAGTGAATGATGATAAATTACGAGAATTGGTTTGTTCAGTTTATTAATTGCTTTTATTAATATTTTATTATTAATAATTATTATATTTAAAGGAAAATGTGCAATGACTAATTAAAAAATTATTTTAATAACATATAAAACTATGATAACTTTCATTTGCCTGAAAGAAATTCAAAATAAAAGCAGTAATATTGTAAACAGTAAAGAAGTATTTGGAACGAAAATTGCATAAATTAACCAAAACATATAATAATTAATTCAAATAATGTATTGAAATACTTGAAATGTGCACATAGTGATATTCGTTTTTAAATATATTATTTTAAATTAAAATAAATTAATATAAATTTGTATTTAAGCAATGATTTTGCTTCTTTTTTTTAATACTCAAATCTACATAAGTCTGATAAAAATTACTTTATTAGTTGCTAAAATCTTATTTACTAATATAAAGTTGCAATAATTTTATGAAAAACTTGTAGCAATATACAAGTTTAAAAAAAATTAAATTTCTTCCATTTTTAATTAAATTTTTTAATTTTATATTTTAATTTTTACTCATTTTTATATCTAATAAATGAATCATTTCAACAAAATGACTTTCATTACGTATTTTTTATTTCAGCAAAGATAAAATTTATACAAAAATTAAGCTATCATTTGTCAAATATTCTTAAAACTTAGAATCAAAACTTAATTTAAAAATTAAAATTAATGTTTACGAATTATTAAAAAGTAACCGCTACTTTCTGAAAGAAAATCCATTTTAACTTATGCGTAATCGAAGCAACAATTTAAATTTCATAAATAAATTACAACTGCGCAAGATCTTAAAGGCATCGAAGCCAGCTGCTGTACGACAAATTGGATTTTTGTTGATTATTGGTGGCATAATTGTCATTGTCGTATCATTTCTGGGATGTTGTGGAGCAGCTAAAGAATGGCGATTACTTCTGTGTTGTGTATGTTGAATAAATTTACTACTCAAATAAATCATAATTAGCTCATATGACAATTAAGTATGTCATCAAATTCAGTAAACAAATAAATATAAATTAATGCCACTAATACTTTATAATATACTAATTTGATGAAGTTACAGCGCAAAAGCTATTCCCAAGCAAGCAAGTTGCATTTTTAAAAATTATTAATTGAGAGTTTAAAATCAGAAAACTAAACTATGATGATTTACTGATTGATAAGTACTGAAATGCAATATTGTACTGAAAATTGTCGTCGTTAAGTCAATATAGGAACAGTTGTTGTTATTTATAGTCTGCATTAAAAGCTAAGCTAATCTGTGTTATCGTCAAGTTGAACTATGAGAGAAGTATTCTTGCTAAAAGCAATAACCTTAGCAATTTGTTCAGAGATTTATTTGTATACAATTTGAGTTGTTACAAACTGTTAAAAAGTGACGAAGTTTGGAGAACAAATTGAAATGAAATTTTTTCGCTTCGTTTTTGAGTACGAAAAAACTTTTTTGCCTTGCAAATGACAAGTTAGTTGCAAAGCAAATGCTAAGCTCGAAAATAACTTCTGCAAATTTGAAATTTTTGCAATAGAAATATTTAAGAAAAAAAAAACTTATTTATTATTAATTTTAATAATCTATCAATTTTAAACAAATATTTATAACAAGTATATTGAATTAGAACACAGCTCAATGTGATTATATATTTATACAGTCAATCATTATCATACGGTGATTATTCTTTTTTTCTTCATTATTGATTCTCGCGCTGGATCGTATTCTGATATTCTCGCTGCACTCGTCCCGCGCTCAGTTCTGCTGTGCTGATCTCCGCTGCTTCGTCCTCGTTGAATTCATGGCGCTGATCGAATGAGATGCTTTCGAGCGTTTTCTTGAGCACTATCGACGGGATATATGTTAAGCGTGATCAGATATACTGATTTTCTTCGCGTAACGTTTGTGGAAGTTTGTCACTATCCCATCCTAAGTCATTACATACGGAATTATTTTGGTTCTGCATTTCATTTCTTACCCAAGTTTATTGGACAGTAGATCATATTTTTATTTTTTCTCGGTTTCGATTGCTATAAACCTGTCGTGACTAATGGTGCTACCCTTTATCAGGATTACTTCACGTCGCTTTTTATCGTGGATCATAATATTCGGTCGATCCGCACTTTGTAGCTGCTTGGTTTACTGCTCCAAGTATTAGCGGGTCCACGCTCTCCAATGTTATTTTCCGCGTTCACTTTGTCTGGTTTATCTTACGTCCGTATGCTTCTTGCATCAGCACTGGATATTTTTCCTTCACATCTAGATAAACTTTAGACTCTTGTAGCGTTTTGCTCCAAGTGCGTATCTTCTGCTTTTCCACGTTTTGTAGACTCCTCAAGAACGTTTCTGTGAGCACGGACGGCGTGCAATACTGGCGATCACAGAATTCGCTTGCTTCTTCAGTTCTTCGAGGGTAATAGCACACAAAAACTTTTCGCTGGACAAGGAACCATACAAATGGCCATTCTCCTTTCGGCTCTTTTCCAAAACAGTCAAGGACCGCTTTCAACACCTTCCATAGCCATATGCTTTATAAAATTTCGGTTCCACGAATGAGTACTTTAAACGTGATCATTCTGCTGGCACCGGGTTCTGACACGCAGACTGTTTAATTTTTTAAAAGCACATTCAATAATATAATATTTAAAAATGCGAGTAAAAATTTTTAAGAATCAAAAGAAATATATCGAAAATAAAATGCTTCATGGCATATTGTGTGTAACTCTGCATTGGGCATTTAATATTCAATAATAGATCAAAAAATACCAATAATTATTGATTTAATGTCATGAAAATTTGTTATTCATTTAATCAGTACTGATAAGATCATTACTCATATTATTCAGCTATAAGATTGTGCCCTAATCAAGCAGTTCTGATTAAAAATTTTGCTTAATAACCGCTAGTAAAGTTTTATCAATTTTTAATATTTTCGTTATCGTTTTGCCATCTTTACAGTATGCAACATGTTTGATGATCATTTTGGCAACACAAATAGCTGCAGCGATATACGCCGTAATGCACAGTCATATGGTTTCTGTGTTTTACAATTATTAATTAATTTCTTATCATTTATTAAAATTCTCGTTTATTTTTTTAAAATTTTACTTTTTTGGGAGCAAAATCTTATTTATTTTGTTCATTTCTTTGTTTGATCATATAATTTTGCAATTATCTTACTATATTTTTTCCAAAACATTACGGTAAGTTGGGTTACAGTTTGAAAGAGATTTTCGACAAGTTTTAAAAGCATCACTAAAATTTTACAATGGGACAGATACTGTAAAAAAATTATCTGACGATACAATGCTAATGAAAGCAGCTTGGGATAAAATTATGACTGAGGTTATTCTCTCTTTTGTTCAAATAATTGCATTTTTTATGCAGTAATTCATTAATTATTATTTTTTGACTATTTATTGCTTAATAAAAAAGCAAAACAGTTATTAGAGTTTAGTAGTACTTGCGCTTCAATTGTTACTGTTAATTTAAATGGAAGTTTATTTTGGAAATCAATTATTACGATTCTTAAACTTAACTAAAATGAGAGCTTTCAAATCACTTTAATAATTATGATTTCAAAGCTTCTTAAAACAAGCAAGTAAGAAAAAAAATAAGTATAAATTTCAAATCAAGATTTAAAACTTTTTATTAATACAGTATATTTTTATAGTTATTGTTACGGGAAGTTGATAGCTTTTAGAAATCATGCTGTGGTGTAGATTCTAAAATTGGAGATTTCAATGAAAGTGGTTGGTACCATTTAACAGGTCGAAAGCACCATTTTCCACCAGCATGTTGTCCACCAAATGAATATGGTGCACTAATGGAATTTTGTCCAACAATAGCCAGATATGGCGATGCAAGATTTTTTGCCTAAATTAAAAAAAATCAACCTTCAAACTTTGCATACTTCCTTAAAAACTTTTAATAATTTGGTCACTCACATTGATTTGAATAAATATAACAAAATTATGCATTATATCACTGCTTTATTATGATATTATAATACTTAAATTTCATTGCATCAAGAAATACAAATATTATGATTAAAAATAACTATAAAAATTATAATATTATTGTGATTATGAATAAGTCTAATAATTATGATAATATTGTGATTATATGATATTGTGATTATAAATAAATATAATAATTAGTTTTTGATTCAGTAAATATTGTGATTATCATAATTGCAACAACTTTTGCAAATTTCCCGTTTTTATTCTAGGGTTGTTATGATAAAATCAGAGAATCAGTGCAAGCTTTATCAAGTCATTTTAAAATAGTAGCTTGGACTGTTATCACTATCGCACTTATACAGGTAAATAATTTTAATAAATTATATGCAAATTTCTAGGATTTTTGATCTATATGCAAATTTGTAAAGTTTTTGTTGACAATTATTTTTTACAAATTAATATCTTATCTGGAATAAAATGCTCTGAAAATTTTCTATACTATTCTATTATTATTACTGCTATTAATGAAATAAGTATATAATGAATTATAGCTTGAATTAGTCTTATTATTAGCACTTTTGAAATCAGTAATGAATTTAAAAGATTGTTCTTTTTTCGGGGAATCCTTGAAAACTTTTACAAATTTATCTTACTTGCATTTGCAGCTTTCAGCAGCCTTATTTTTGAATCTCATATTATTTCTTTTTACGAAGAAAAAATTTTGCGCAATTTTGTTAAATATTCAAAATTAATTTCAGATATTCGGTATAACAGTAGCATTTTGTTTATGCAACGCTATCGGTGAAGAAGAATATTATTAATATGCGTATAAACTGATTTGATAATTATTTTATTAATTAACTTGATGAATAGAAATATTTGATTTTGTTGACAAGTTTTGAACTATATAAAAGTTTAAAAAAATCATTTAGCAAATTTTTGAGCAAAAATAAAAATTGCTTAGATCAGAATGATCCCATCAAACAAACAACTAGTATCCAATTAAATTTGATTTAATTTATTTGCTAACTGTTTTATTAAAAATTCATTTTAAACTGCAATTTAAGATAGCAATAATAAGTTTATTAATATATTAAACAGCGTGATAACACAATATATAAATTTACAGAAACTAAGAAGATTCAAAATTCTTGTCCACACTTTGTAAATACTTATTTTTGAGTCATTGCATTGAATATACAATGAGAAATTCGTTGAAAAAATATTTAAATATTCGGATAAATTTTTTTTGTTTGAAAAAGTGTTATTTTAGAAAAAATACTATTAATAGAGCAGATGACGTTTTGTAGATTAATATTTATACTCAAAAATTATATAACCGCAAAGTTGTAAAAGTACTCAAATGGAAGAAATAAACTTAAAATTTAAATTTGAATAAATTATTTCAGAAATAATCCACTAAAAACTACTTCATACACTGTATTTCCAAATTAATCTTGAAATTTACTTACGTGTGTAATCACCAAAAAAAGAATTGGATTATAAATGACTGCTTCTGGATATTCTGAAAAATAAAATTTTGTAAAACTATGGACTAAAATGTTTTGAAACTTCAACTCATAAAATGAAGACGTAAAAAAATAAGTATAGAAACTGAAATTAAAATGTAAAAAAAATTCAGAAGTTAAATCAATCTCCAGAAGATTATTGAATTTATTTTTAAGTAGTAAATTTGTTTACAAAAAAATGCAAAAGAAACATATGTGATTTGATATATGATTTTGATCTGCTGATCTCAAGTTGATCTACTGATCTCATATGATTTTAATCTACTGATCTCAAGTAAATATTAAAAAGTGAGATATTAATTAAAAAATTAAACAAACCTTTATAAGTGTCTGTGCGTGAAAATATATTAGATTTTTACTAAATGCTGGAAATCTGGGCGGTTGTTCTAATTATAAGCAATCTTCATACTGCTTTCTGTGGCAAGCATATTACTATAGTTGGAATAGTTAACGACACTCGAGATGTAATAATAAATATATTTTCTAAACTATTAAATACTACATATTGATTGATTCTTCATGTTTTAATATGCTAAAGTTAATAAAATTCATTGTCAACGATTAATTTATTCATTTTTTGAACAATTATTTACAAAATTTCAAGCAAAATATTCTTTAGGGTCTTGATTCTTAATTTATTCAATTTCCGATCAGTTAATGATAAACAATTTGTGATTACCCATTTTGTTAGCTTAAGTTTATTCCTTACCCTAAGAGTAATTGGATAATTTTGAATTACTTCCTCAAAAACTGCTTGAGTCACAATAATGATAAAAATCAGTCATCATAATTTTTCAAACATTGAATTGCTATCTAATAATAGCGTTTAAAGTTTAGTCAGTTTTAATTTTAGCTTTTACTTAATTTTAAAAAGTTTAATTTTGAATGATTAAGTTTTCAAGAAGTGAAAATTCAGACTAAAATTATTTACTAATTTGACAATTTATTTGAAAAAAAAAGATTGAAACTGCTTTTAATTTTCATATCATCATATTAAATCATAGATTCTTCATTGCTACAGATTCATAACTTCGAAAATCTAGAAGGCATAATTCAAAAATGTCAATCATTAGAAGTAACTTTTTGGAATTCTAATTCCTTCACTATCAGACAAACTTGCCATGAGAAAAAATTTTTGTATGGACAAAAGAAGAAGATTTATTTCAAGTCCATTCGTTTTTCAGTATGACTTTTAATTTTAATTTAATTGTTATGCTAATTGATAATAAAAAGAAGTATTAATAATTAATTATGCTAATTGATAATAAAAATAAGTATTGATAATTTATTAAAATCAGCTAAGCAAAGCTAAATTCTAATACTTTCGATTTCCTAATTGGTAGTGGAATTAAAACTAACTTCTATAATCGACTTGAAGTTTTTTTTTAATATAATACTCATATAAAATTCGAAATCAAATTACATTTAATCAAAAGATAATAAAATGATAGCTTTGTTCCTAGAAAGCATTAATACTTTTATCATAATTTTACAAAACTTGCAGTTCAATAATAACTTTTGATAAAGATTATATTGAAGGGAAAAATGTGTACAGGAATATTGTCAAATATTACAGTAAAAGGCTTTTCCGTAGAAATGAATATTTACTGCCAAAGTAAAAGCCAATTCAAATATATACAGTTCAAGAGTGGTTCAGAGGTCACTACAACTTTCAAACACTTTTTACTGTTATTAATAAAGTAATGAAAACAAATCCCTACGTTACCTAAATATGCCATTCCTCCAGTAATTTAACTTGTCGAATCGACTAATCTCTTCTAAACTTTTGGTGATGAGAAGATATCAATTACTATAATTGTAACTCTTCACGAAAAGATTCTTCGAATTACTTTATTTCTTTACGAATCAATAAGCTTCATTTTGTAGAAACTTACATCTGAAGAATCGCTATATTATATTATTATCTACAATAACCATTCAATTAATGATCCGATACTTGTGCAGTACAACAAAGAGTTCGGTAATAGTAAATGAATTTATTACTGATATTCCAGATTACAACTATAAAATTTTATCTCTAACTGATAAAGAGCCAACAACAAAAAAAAACAAAACTTAGTCACCAAATAGTTATCAAACTTGAACTCCAAAATTGATATCCCCGTTGTAAAATGGTAATTATCCTCATTGCAGAGATATGGGATAAAATATGGATCACTACTGTAATAATGCTACTTGTCTTGCTAATACTGCTCACTGCATATTGCTTAATTCGAAATTTTGTCTATGCATAGGTATGAAGTATAAAAAATTATGTTTCAGTCATTAAATTCAATTTTGATTCATCTGAAATTACTGAAAATATAATTTTCAAAAATTATAACTTAATTTTTGCAGCATCAACAAATACCAGTCATGATGCAAACCGTTGATGATATTGAATAAAAGCTTAAGATTTGCTATCAAGAAATTAAGATGGATGATGTGATCTGCAACTGAGAATAGAGAAAATTATCATAACAATAACAACTGATTATCAATTAATAAAACCAAATACTCGCTACAGCTGTAATTCTAATGAAAAATCTGATCATGGATAGAGCAAGAATGTTGTAAACTTCATGCAATAACGAATAGCTCAAATGCATAAACAAAAAACAAACCAACAAACATATGTAATAGTTTTAACATAACATAAAATTATATTAATGCCTGAATATGACGTTGAAACGATCGTAACAATGAATATTAATTTTCGTCTCTCACTTTACTGATTATGTTTTAGCTGCTTAAATACATTTATAACTATTTTTATCGCTTGAAATAAATATGAATAATAAACCTTTTTTTCACTTAATGCTAAAAAACTTAAAATGCATTAATATTACTTGAAATACTTCCGCAATTAGCAAATAAAAATTGATATCTTTCTTAGTCTAGACTGGAATTTTCAAATCTCTAAGAGAGAACGAAAAATTTTAATAAAAGCTTTCCTGGTATCTATAGTAAACTAATCATTAGACCATGTCTATTAGTGAGCTAGGATCACATATTCTGGAAACGTATTATCTTCGACGGCAGATTCGACCACTTTGCACACGATGTAAACGATCATCTGGTGAGTGAAAATGTGGATACCTTCTAAACAATGCTCGGCGTCTTGATGGATTGTGTGCTGCTCGTTGATGTTGCTGGAAAAAAAGACGTATAACTAATAATTCGAAATATTTCTTACCATTAATTTGCTAATTACTTTCAAAAAGTTAGCAAAATATAATACTACGAAAACATAATACTGAAAATTAAATTCGACCAATTTCCATTTATCTTCCACGAATTAGATAAAAAAATTAATAAAGTAGTAACCTAAAAAAGCTGTTAGAAACGAGATACATTAAGCAAAATAATTTACATTTATATATATAATTTCACGACAAATAATGCGAGATCTTTAAAAGTTTTCATAAAATTAATTATCTATACACTGCTTCATACTTTCAAATTTTAAAAATACTTTGTTGTTGAATACCGTTTTTAACATTTATTTAGGTTCCATCGTAACAAAGCATTATTAACAACGCTACTTTTATGATAAGGATATGATAGAAATCCGATTTATATGGTTTCTAGTACTTTGTTTTGACAACGAAACCAATAAATTTATTATTATAAAGGGAAAATTTTGAATGACATACAGTGAATTATTTTTGAGGAACTAAAATAAATTAATAATTGTCGTAATATGGTACTGGCAAAATATCTAAATAACCATATCCACTTTTGAAAACTGGAAAAAAAATACTCAAAATTGTTACAATTTCAGTAATTTTTTAGTTAGTAAAATAATAAAAACAGAATTACCAAGGGATGAAATGAATCTATTCCAGCATCAGTAAATGTGGTTTCCCATTCTGGATGACATAAGCATTCATCCTAAAAATATAAGTCAGTATCTAATAGATTTAATATTTCAGGTTTTTTCAGATAAACTTAGACATAAACATATTGTTGCATTTTCACTAATAATTAATTTATAACATGTTTGCTAATTTGTCATAACCATCAAAACATCTATGATTATTTGCAGTTCGTAAAAATCGTTTCTTATTTCTAAATTTTTTAATCCATTGCATATTTGAAGTTATTCTTTCAAATTTTTTAGTAAACCAAAAAATGTATTTTTATAATTTTTCATCTCAGATTGTTCTCTATAAATATTAAATATTTTGTTTTATTGAATTTGAACTATTTAAACAAGGAAAAGGTTCAAATACATATTTAAAAAAAACAAGTTACAATTACAAACGTTGTTTAGGCAGTCAAATATGCATCGCTGAACATCACTGGGTGCGATACATATACCACACATCGATCGCATTTCATTCTATATTTCAAGTATGATTTAGGTTTAGATCGCTTAGTTAATCATAGAATCAGAAACTGATTAAAATAATTAAAAAATTTGTCAACAAAAATAATTTGCATCATCAAATAATAATCAAACCGAAGGTTGCAGTTGCCCAGGCATATTGGATTCGCTATCATTATTACCGGCACCTATATCAAAAGGAATCCAATACCCGTAATCAGTACCATCCTCTTCATCCAATATATTTAATAATAATCTGAAATTAAAAGCCTTATAATTATGCAAGAATTAAATGCTCAAAAAAACAAACAAATTTATTTCTAAAGTCAGTTTCTATAAATAAGAATTGCTTGTTAAAAAAAGAAACCTGTCCATACTACTGTCGGATTCATCACTGCTGTAATAACCAGAATCTTCAGAATCTGAAGAAACTTCAATTTCCAAATCATCCATGTCATAATCATCTAAACAATAGGAATCAAGACTTCAAATTAAATATCAAGAAATATTCTTGTTCTGAGAAAAAATTAGTTTAAAAAAAAAATCTTTTAACTCCAAAATGCTTTAAAGAGTAATTGTTTGATTCTAAACAATAAAATAAATTTAAACATTTTTTAAAAATAAACATGTCACATTATTTTATTTATTGTTTCTTCTAAATTAATTATTAACCGATCATAGTAGCAGTAATTAAGTACAGTATGATTTTGTTAAGGAAAAATTACCATTGCTACAAAAATCCAATTTATAAATAAACCTGTGAAAACCGATGTTCTCATCTTCAACTTAATGTTTATAACAAAAAATAATTTAAATTCAATTGCTAAGCTTTGATAATGTTTAAAATCACAATTTTTTCAACGCATTATTCAATTTTAATTATTTTACAAACTTGATCAAAACATAATCGCGCCAACATTAATTTGAAAATTGATGACAACAAATAATAAAAATTCGATTTATAGTAATAGCTTACTTTATTGATGTAATATTGAAAACAGTCTTACTACAACTATAAAGATTTAAACATGTGCATAAACAAAACGATAAGAGTACTAGACATTTAAGTACTGAATTCTGATCACTTTATTCCTTTCATTAACTTTTAAAAAGTTTGTCAACTGTCAAGTTTCAAAATATGAACCATTCATTGAATCCTTACCGATAATTTCACTTCCTGTAATTAAAAAAATACTGCGAATTCTACAAACCAATAAAATTATTATTTCTACATGTATGAGAAATAAGAGCAACAGTTATACTAGTTGAATATACGCAATAATAAATAAACTAAAAATTTAAAACGTCAAAATTGAACTAAATTATTTTGCTAAGAATTAATTTTTGAACTAAACTCATCTGGTATTATTACTTCATTCACTTTAATATCAATTAGTAAACCCAATGATCATTTTGAATGGATTATTTAGCATGATGTAAAATAGTATGGACAAATGACCTGTATAGACTACAACCGACCGACCGACTGACTGATTAATTCATTGAATGACAGTTTCAAGTAAGGTGAAATTTAATTTTATTGCAAAATGCAGAAATTATTGCTGAACGCCTTGTAAAAATGACTGTCATATTCTCACTAATGCACTGTTTTGCTCTGTAAACTCTTTCGGAGCTTTGCCCTATTGACCTTCTAACGATATTTATAATTACAGTATCATTCAATGACAAATAAAGAGTTGTACATGTTGACAGAATGTCGCTGAATGCAAATTTTTGAATGTAATAAATATAAAATATAAAAAACAGTTCTTCAGCTTGATTAAAAAAATTTTTTTCTCGATTTGGATAGTAACATTATTGATTGTTTCTATTTAGAATTTATAAAAAAATAAAATAAAAATTAATAAAAAGTAATAAGAAATGAAATAAATTTTACAAGAATATTAAAAAAACAAAATGTTCAATAAGCCGTGGCCTAGAGTCATTTCAAAAAAGCATGCGAAGAATCTAATAAGCCTCAAATTAGCTAATGTGTTCAGTTATGCAAGCGTGAAATGTGATTATTAATTAAAAGACGTGTAACAAATTTAAAAAAAGAAACAGAAAATAAGAAGAAAAAATGAAAAGTTATAAACTAAAATATAAAAAAATCAAAGATAATCAGTCAAAAATGCTTGAAAAAATGAGAAAATACTTAAAAACAAAAAACTAAAAGAATTTTTGAAAAATTAAAAACAAAAAAAACAGAAAAAATAAAATGCTTTAAAAAGTGAAAAAAACGCTTAAAAAACCAAAAATGGAGAACCATACAGAAATAATCGTATGAATTACGTGACGTGTAACTTTTTTGGAATGAAATTCACTTGCTAAACTGAACAAGAAAAGTTTATAAACTGTTTACGTCAGCAAATTAAACAACACAAAACTGTTCTTTTAAGAGAGGCAAAAAATTGCTACCGGAAAAAAAATTTGAAAATTCGCCAATTCGGTAGATGCCTGCTCGTCCTCATTTTGATTGGTTAAGTTTACTTTTTAATATTTACATATCTATTGCAAAAAGTATTCAAAAAATGTCATATTTCTTGTATGAAATTTCAATTTTGATTCCTTGCAGTAACCAATTTAAAATTCAAAAGTAATGAAATATTTTTGAAAAATAAAAAGTGCAATTAAAAATTGTAAAGTTAATGAAAAAAAAATATTTGATTATTGTACATGCTTAAGAAGGCAAGTTTGAGTTTGAGGTAATTGTGGACGATAGATTGTGTCTGATCTTGGAAGTAACACATTATTTCTTCGTTAGTTCTGATTTCTATTCCTATTTTTGTTCTTCCTTAATTTGTGACCTGTTAAGGAGATGCCACGATGCTATTACAGAAGTAAATGGCAGAAATATTAGTATGATCAGTTGCAACAGTAAGCGTAATGGTATCGACAGTCGAATACTCCAGAACGATGAAAACAGTAAAACACAGAATATTTCATAAATCAACCAGATCAGTTATCTAATGGCTGGGAACCCGTTTCTGAAGAACCTTCCACATTACAAGCAACTTTAAGTAATAGATCATAACGATAATGTTCATGCAACTCAATGTTGCAGTACTTCTGAGGCAACGAAGACGAGATAAGGCATGAAGAATGACACGCATGGAACGAATAGACAGATAGAAAAGACTGTTGTAAAAAGAGTTCGAAACCAAAAGGAAGAATGGTTTGTGGTCGTACAGTCAGGATATGAGAAATCTGAGGAGAAAATGGAGGATGAAGTGAGAAAAAGCGAAATCATAGTAGAAAACAATGGGAAAATGTATGAGGTTGTGAAAAGATCCGGGAAGAATCTAAGAGAACATTTTGCCAGTGCACCGGAATCAGGAACCAGTGAAATGATTACTTTCGAAGGAATCATCCGAGAGCAGATGGCCAGGCGAAGTGCATTCTCAAAGAATACTTCAAAAAGCACAAGGATGTGACATGGACTAGAAAAAGTGAATGCGGAAAATAATCCCGTTGACCCGCTTATATTTAAAGTGGTAAACCAAGCGGCGGGTCAATAAGCCACACAGAATCTCCTCAAATTAATAACTGAGCTTACAAGGCAGCTTCCACTTGAATGAAGTTCGTTTATGGAAGTTCATCACTTTTGTCTGTGTTAGAACAGCTATAAAAATATTCCTATCGTGGATCACTTATAAAAATGCAATTATTTTAACTTATTTACAAAAATAAGTGTATTTTATAAGTGATCCACGATAAGAAGCAACATGGAGTATTCTGATAGAGATTGGCATCACTAGTTAAGAAGACAGGTTGACAGCAGTCAGATCGAGAAGAAGCGGAAGTAATTTACTTGCTAGTGAATTCGAGTCTGAGATAAAATGTAGGATGATCATAATAGTATGTGATGACTAGAGTGACGAACTTCCATAAACGTAACCGAAGGAAATTAATGTATCTGATCAGGTCGAGACATACATATATCCACTCTGCAGTGCTAAAAACTGTACCTAAATTCTTTTTGCAAATAATTAGCTTATTCTAAATGACTGAGAACAGAAAAACGAAATACAGTACGAAGCATTTTCTTCTATCAACGCCACGGATTTCTCGAGGACCAAACAGCGGAGACCAGCACAGCAGGACTGAGTGCGGGACGAGTGCAGCGAGAATACGATCCAGCGTAGAAATCAATAGTGAAGAAAAGAATAGTAATATTGATCTGATACAATTTCAGTAGTGGAGCAAAAGTTATGTTGTAGCAATGATTAGATAAAATATTATTCCTGAAAGTCTATTTTTGAATACTTTGAGTGAAAAAATTCCATCTGACGTAAAAAATAAGAGAATTTTTCATCTAAAAGCTTCAACAAATATTATTTTTACTAGAATAACTTGGCAAATGTAGAAATGAGATAAACGAACAAAGTAAACCTAATAAGAGTCAAGTGGGATATTCATGATTACTAAATTTGAATTTAAATTATCTAGAACTTAATTTAAAAAAAGAAAATTTGAATAATGCTGTTTAAATTACTACAAGAATGCTACAGTTCTTTACACATGTTTTGCAATATAAAATTGAGTAATTATAACAATTATCAAATACAAGCAAGCCTATCTAAAATTAATGCTAAAGACTATCTAATTAATTATGAGTTATAACTAATTAAATAAGAGTGAATAAAAAGGTAAAATAATGTGATGAACTCTTGTATTATTTATTATAAATGATAAAAAGTAGCAACAGAAGTCGAAATATTGATTGAGGAAAAGATTTATTTGGTAAAAAAATGAATAAATTGGGATTCAGGTTCAATATCTGATGATGAGGGGAAAGAATAAATCACACATGATGTCAGCAGAGAAACACAGATAGTTTTTGACCACAGAAAAAGAGTTTTAAAAAAATATCAAATGAGTTGGAATAAAATGCGTGAAAAGAATGAAATTAAGCAGTAAAGAGTCAAATCATTTTCATTTGTCAGAAATGCCGTTAAAAAAAATACCTATAAACTGTACCTAAGCTCTCTTTGCAAATAATTAGCTTATTCTTAATGACTGGAAATAGAAATACGAAATACAGTACTATGCTTAAATTCATTACAAAAGATGCTTACTTATGAGCTAATTTCTAACTACAAAAATGACCTTTAATTAATTACATAACAAGTTTAAGTAAAATATAGTTCATGTACAGAAATGAACGAACACAGCTATTTGATAAGTACTTAGCAGTGAAGTAAAGCTAAGAAAGTAACTATAAGCTTGGAAAGGAATACAAGAAATGATCACTCGCAAGCAGTACGAAATTGGTTCACAAAATCAATTTTAGCATACTGTAAAAATCCATAACTTGCTAAAAAATTTAGATAAACTAGTAGTACCAGTTCCTTTTGATCATAGTTTGATGGGAATCTGAAAATTTAAGATTTAGAGTAAAACAAAGTATTACATGTAGAGTTAAGATTTCTACTAAGATTAATACAAAGGTACATGCAGTTGCTACACGTACAGAACCAATCTTATAAAACAATTACTTGAGAATAGAAGTTTTAAATTTCTAACCTTTAACACATTATCAATGCATGACCTTTAACATGTATAAGTTTCGAAAACCCATCTATTACTTATGAACTCTGCCTTGTTTCAAGTAAAGTAAAGTCTATGTTGTACAAGCAGGACAAATATTTATTTAAAAAAATATGCAGATTCAAATTTTTTTTAAAAGTTTACTGAAAGATATTTTTGCATCCACTGCATTTTATTCTGTTTCGTTAAATAACCTTTAATTGACCTTTGCCAGTGATACATGTGCTATTCAAATTTCTTATTAAAACAGTTTGATACATGTGCTATTCAAATTTCTTATTAAAACAATTCTAATGATGAGCAATTATAGGATTATAAAGAGCTGCAACATAAAAATCGATAACCTTACTCTTTTACTTTATATTTTTTAATTCTATTATTTTTTATTAATATTTTGAATTTGTTTCGTATAGACATTTTTCGTTTTAGATCGAACTAACAAGGATAGCTCGTATTTGTCACAGGCAGTAAAGGCAATTCTGGATTGTCAATTATCGAAGTATTAAAAAATTTATACTATTACATAAATGGATTTGCGCATATCTTCATCTCAGCCCATCATTGTTTAAATTTTATATTTGTTTTTTCATCAAAAAATTTTATAATTTGATTTTTATACAAAATTATCCACTTGTTTTTTTACAATTTTTTCATCATGTTTTGCTAATTTTTTCAAAAATTTCGTTTTTTTTTTCAAATTTTCAAAATCTTTTTTATTAAAAATAAAAATTGCTTGTGCAAACTGTAATTATCTGCTTTGTGATGTGATTATTCTCAGTAAAAGTTTTAATCTTTTATTATCACAAAAATAAATAATTACTTACTTACAAGGTGTAAGTAAGAGCAAACATATACAAAGTAACTAATTTTTATTATTAGCGATTTTTCTATCTTTATTCGTTTCTAATTACATTTTTAATTGACTACTGAGCATTTGCAATGGAATTTTTATGGCTTCATGTAAAACTTGCAGACTTTTTAGCTGCTTACTACTTTTGTGTAATTTTTTCTTTAAAAAAAACTTAGTAAAATTATAGAAATTGTAATTGAAAGTTTAAATTGACTAATAAAAAGTTATAGCACTTAAATTTAATTATTAAATATTTTTCATAACACAAAAAGCTATCATGAAGTCAATAAAAACAAACAAAGTGTTATTGATTTATAACTTTGGTGAAGATTCAGCAGAAAAAAGATCAGATAAAATATTTGTTCCAGTTTTGGCGAAAAAATCAGCAATTACTGGTAAGCCAATAAATCGAAATAATATTGCTAAAGGTAAGCTAAAAAGTTTTAAGAATGGTTCTTTGCCATAACGTATCACATCCATAGAATCATCGATTAATAAGCCAGCATTCAGAATCGCTTTATTGTTTTCTAAAAACATTTTGAAACCTTTCTGTCTACCTTCTGCTTCAATTTGCATTTCATCTAAAATTTTTTGCAGTGACGGCAGCTCATCGCGAAGAATTCTTTCTTTTTTTAACGTTTCATTACTTGATGTTGCATTAATTACTGCTACTTTTTTCACTGATATTGGCTGCAACAAATATGCTTTTTTTAATAAAAATAATTATAAATAATATATAAGTATAAAAAATGTTATAAATTAAAATTAACAAGTTTTTGATATATCTAAGTTTTTTGCTTAATTATGCTTATTACTAATAGGGAGTGAGAAAAAAGCTGAATATATTACCTTAATTTTGCAGAAATGAATAATGAAAGTAAGGAATAATGTAATAAATTGTTTTTACTATTGATAAGCACAATAATATTTAAATAATTCTAGTAAATATAATTCCATTGGAACAATTAACTTTTAACATCTGAGTAATTTAGGACGAAGCAAAGCGAAGCAAAAGATCGAGCTAACACGAGTATAGAAAACGTTTGGATAATAATAGAGAATGAATTTAATCTTTTTTAAATTTAAGTATAAAATATGCAATTATTTTAAAAAAATAATGCTTATCACTAATTTGTGAAGTACTGAAAATAATTTTTTGATTATCATACTATGATTTGTTAATGATATTTAATTAATTCTATATTAAATACTATATCACTTTAAGTATTATGATTAAAGAGGTAGTAATTAACGATTAAATATAAGTTTACTTTCTTATTACACTAATATTTAGTGATAAGCATTATTTTTTTAAAAATATTTGAATATATTATACTTAAATTATTTTCAAAAAATAATGCTTATCACTAATTTGTGAAGTAATGAAATTATTTTTTTTGATTATTTATACTTATTTTTTAAAGCATAGTCTGTAGTTTTTATGTATAGTCTTAGTATTGTAGATTTTGGTAATTTTTAGCGAGTTTGTAATTTTCGTTAATTTTGTATTATTATTCATAATTTTTGTCAGTTCAATAATTATAGATTATGCAAGAAAACTTACCATGAGATGGCAAAGGTCAAATAAAATTGGGACAGCAATAACGACATTCGGAATTATGTAAGTCATTTTGTTGAATTACAATTGTACTGACTTCTATAAATTTCTTGCAAAATACTTTTATATTGGTCACTCTTCATAATTCAAGCATAGTTTAAATTCATTAAAATTCAAAAAGAGCAAAACATATTTTCAACAGATTTTCATATTATGGCATTTGTTATATTTACATTTTAGGAAGAAATTTATCACCATTTCAAGAATAATCACCTGATAATGTAATCAACGATGGAAATTCATTGTTGATCACTTATTCATAATTGAATTTATTTAATAATTAATACAATTATTCATTCAATAATCAAGACAATTATTAATTTCATATTATGACACTTGTTACATTTACATTTATTTATTATATGCTTATTATTATATGCATTCACGAAATACTGTTGTTAACAAATCATTCCTTATTTTTTCATCATTAGTACAAATATTTTGATTAATTAGTATTATTATAAGTGTTACTTGTTACCTTTTATAATATAATAAGCTTATTACAATTACAAGCCTTGTTATTGTTTAATATTATTACTGCATTACTGATTTATTACTATTATTAGTATAGTAATAACGATTGTTATTATCATTACTCATTGCAAAGAATTGCAATCTGTGAAGGGATAGAACTGATTTATCCTCAAAAATATTGCCAACAAAAGCAAAAAATATGACAAAAAATATTTTTTTCAATATATTCGATTATTAGCATGCAAAATTAATGCTTCGTTTGAAATAAAGGGGGATTTAAGGCTTGCTGTCTCAAAATGAGGGACTAAAATAATGGTCTTGAACTTGAACTTAAGCACAACTTGAACTTAAGCCTTGAACTTGAATTTAAGCACACACTTTTTAATATTTATCTGTCAGAGATATACACTTACTTAAATATTTAATTTGCTCGTAATTTTTTGTTTTAAAAAAAAATAAATTTTATCCCTACAAAATAAATAGTCTATTATTTTTCTGCAAAAAATTATTAAAAATTTCATCTAACATTGCAAAGTTGTAGTCAGAATTAATCAGCCATTTACATTAATATTTTTACTGTTACATTACCAATTTTTAAAAAGCTGAATTTGATCACAATTTGCAATAATTTGCTTTTAATTTGAACATTAATTTATTACTCACAAAGATCAACAAAAAATAATTCTAAATTTGAATTTAGTACGAAAGAGAAGGAAAAATTTTTTGCTGTGATAAGAAATTTTATTCAGCTAAAATTATAAGTCTTATGGCAATAAGTTTAATAAATTAAGACTGAATTCTTTTGTATATTTTTTGAAATGAGCCAATCTTTTTCTTGAAAAGTTTACAATACTGCTATTATTCACTTGCATCTGTAATCAGATGCATCATATATGTCATATTCAAATCTGTTAATATGAGTATTTATCAAAGTAATTATACAAAATCAGTTTGCAGAAAATGAAGAGAATATTAATATTTATCATCTGATTTGCTGAAAGTGCTATAAACATTATAATAAGTATTATATGAGATCTGTTATCGGTTTCAATTGGTAAGCTTATTAAATTTCATTGTTAGTAAATACAGTGAATTAATGATTCTTTCTAGAAATATACTAAATATACAAAATCATAAATTAATCGGCTTTTGTAACTTTCACACAGTCAAAATATCAACAATATTTAGTGTTTGTCGGCAATTTATAAGGCTCAAAAATAGATAATAGTCATTTACTGTTTCTTAGTTATTGTTAACTGCTCACTTTAATAGATGCTAATAAGCTTGTTACTTCACCTATATTTTATTACCCCAACTATATGTACCACATACAAGGTAACATTTCCTTATTTGTTTTTATATTACCAGTATTTCAGTTGAACTTGTCACGTTTTTCGATAATATGGTACTGTAATTCGAAAAACAAATTACCTGACTCGAAAATAGATAAATTTATAGAAAAGTCAATAAACTGTTGTTGATTTTCAAAAATCTGCCTTCCAGATGTTTAATATTTAGTGAAAGGTATTCAATGGAAATTACTGTAAAATGTAAAATCTTTGCTTTTTTAGGATGAAACGATCAAAAAATCTTTGCAAGAAGTGAACAGCACTGCTGCAAGCATTATTCCTGGATTTCCTGAAATAATTTCGATGAATAACTCACAAAATTCTGATCTCAGAAATCAATCAAAATCAAAGATTAGACCAGAAAATGGAAGTATGGATAAGATTAATGCAGAAATAGATTCTAATGATAATAGCACAAACATTTCTGCAAATTCCACAACGATGAAACCCGACACAGTAGAAGCTGTTGATCTCCATCATCAGATTAATTTAACTGTCAGACCTATAATTGGAAACCATAGTGCAAACAGTACAAAAGCAGTTATTGAAGTTGCAAACACAAAATCACTAAATCTAAATGGACAACCTAAATCAACGGATTTCGACAAAACACAAACATCTGATGCGATTATTTACAACGAAAAGAACAATACTGAAGGAGTAATAAAAGCTAATCCTACAAGTTCAGTAAATTTACAGAAAGAACTTGCAACAATAATTTCTGATAAGGTGACAATTTCTGATCAAATCGATCAAAAAGAATCTGAAGCCGTAATTAAAAACGATGCGAAAGTAGAACTAGAATCTCTTACCAGAAATTATCTAAACCCTCTGATTCGTGGCATGTTTCAAGAATGGAAGAAGCAGTTAACTGAAAAGAAGCATGCAATTGATTTATATAGTGCAATGCAACGTACCAGTGGTGATTTCTGGATTTTTTTTACAAATGCAATCAATTCACTGAAAACATTTACTGACATCTTATTGTTACCACTTTTAGCACCTTTTCAACCACAAACACTTACCAATCACTGAGTAGCAGTAAATAATGGACAGAATTTTGATAAGACGGAAATAAAATGGACTGAAATTAATTTTGAGAATATTTCTTTTGAAAGTTTATTATTTTTTATTAAGTATTAGAAGTACTAATTCAATTTCGATTTCATTAAAAGTGCTTTCCAATATCTAATATTTCATTGCTGAGTAATTCATTTTTATGAAAACTTTATTCGCAATAAATTTAAAATTTCCATTAATTACTAATACGTACTATAAATAAGTAATTAATAATACTTATATTTGATAAAAATGGTGGACTGAAAATTTATTTTATAAGATTTCATATCATGAAATTGAGTCATAATATTTGCTCATAATGCAACATTTTAAAATTTCAGTTTGTTGATACTACTATCAATATCAGATAAGAATGTCTTATTCCCATGAAATTTACCAATAATAATTTGTTCGAAATGAAACAAAAGATAATAAATTTTTTTCATGGAATATTGTACTTTTCGTACTGCTCACGATTTTACAGTTTTTAGAGTAATAAAATTCACAGTAATAGTTTTACTTGTCACATTTAACCGATGTATCATTAACGCAATCTGTTTGCTTATTAAAATAAGTTTACAACTATAAAACTCTAAATTACTTCCAGAATGATAATTATTTCAACAGTAATAAAAGATCTTTTTTTTTTTTT